TATCCGTAGGTTACTAGTATTTGATCATAGGTGTCTTCGAAACATTGCTCATATATCATGGGACCATCGAGTAAGTAACACAGTTGTTAGGAAACGGGTACTAGGTAAGGATGGCAAATCAATTGATGACGTAGTGAAACTTCATCAGTTGAGATGGCTGGGACACGTGTTACGTATGCCCAACGACCGACTGCCTCGACGTGCTATGTTCAGTGGTATAGGAGTAGGTTGGAAGAAAGCTAGGGGCGGCCAAACCAAAACATGGCACAAGTCCATGAAGTCACTGACAAGTGAACTGAGTCATGTTGGTAGGTGTAGACTACCTGGTTGGGGACCGCGAGATGACAGCAACCGTTGGTTAGAGACCCTGAATGACATGGCTCAAAATCGTTTGCAATGGCGCAGGTGCATCCACTCTCTGTGTTCTCCCAAATTCTAATCTTCTGAATTCTTCATGTCCCTTTTTTTCCTCTTTCCAAATTTCTTTCACTGGATTATACTCTTTAAATAACATCTCCAAACCCTAATCTTCCCGATTACTGCTTATACTCTTATTACCTCTACCACGACGGGATTTGAATCGACAAGTGCATCTCTGTGCTAATGTGGTGTGGCAACTCGAACTGATGTACGTACGTACGAAGTTCTACGTTGTTACTGACTGACTGATGCTTCATCACTTAGCTTGACGATCACATGATAACCTACTCTATAGAATTCGATCGGCACTAAGAGACTAGAAATACATAAAATTTAATCACTACTCAGTGATCAGTCGACGAGAATTTACCCCTCCTATAGGAAGTTAATCACTGCTCAAATACTTCATTTTTAATGTTCAATACTATGAAACAAAGACACATACGTTTAAATTGCACTGTAATCATTAGTTCCATTAAGATTTCAGTGAAACCTTTTACTGAAAAGTATCAATCAACACAAAACATTTTGGTCCAAGTTTTCCTTAAACTACCTAATGTTAATAATATATATAATTTAGAAATTTCACTGGTTGAAATCATGAGTCGATTGAAGCTAGACCACCATGGAAAACGTGGAAGCACTGGACGACCTTTTCGTCTTAGTATGGTACTCCTCAGCAGTGCGCATCCACGATCCCTCTCCTCGCGAGATTCGAACCCAGGATCTGTCAGTCTCGCACGCGAACGCTTAGCAACCAAACCATTGAATCAGCCAGCACCCAACGGTGTCAATGTCTAACTTCAACCAATCCACGAAGTTGTGCCACCGTATACCATTGTCTTCAGTGAGTTGATATCTCACAACAGACCTGGTTGAACTCCACTGGTAACGGCTTTTCACTAGAACTCCAGGAGTATCTCTTGAAGTCAGTCACTAGTGAGCAGATGATTATTATCAAAAGGGGTTTTGTGGAGATTTTTTTAGAAATTTCACTGGTTTAAATCATAAGTGGTCAAGTTGGTCAAGCGCCTGGCGTGAGATTGATAGGTCCTGGGATCAAATCTCGCGAGGAGAGGGATCGTGGATGCGCACTGATGAGGAGTCCTATACTAGGACGAAACGGCCGTCCAGTGCTTCCACGTTTTCCATACTGGTCTAGCTTCAATTAACTCATGATTTCAACCAGTGAAATTTCTAAAAAACAGTCGTCTCAAAACCCCTTCTGACATATAATTTAGTTGATTAGTTTAATTTTTATCATTCTAATTTCAAATATTTAACATAAACAATTCATAAAAATTGTAAATAGAATTCCTATGGAAATTTAATTTAATAACAGAATATTGTACATTGTTTCTAGGAGCACCAATTACTTTTAATGCATAATAAAGTTCATTTCAAGTATATAAATTAATTTTTATAACTTAAAAATATAAAACAAATTAACCTTTAAAAAACAATTAAAAAAACACATTTTAATTGTTATCTTAAACATTACGTAACTATGAAAAACATTGAAAAATAAAAACAAAGAAATTGGGGTTAAATAAGGTGAACATAAAAGAGAACGGTAGTTATAATAATAATAGTGATGATGATGATAATAATGATAATAAAAATTTTAAATAGTAGATTACTATTACCAATTATTTTCAGAAGGGGTTTAGTGGAGATTGTGGTAATTTCAATAGTTGAGATCATGAGTCAATTGATGTTAGTGCACCATTAAAAACCTAGAAGCAGTGGACGGCCATTTCGTCCTATTGTGGGACTCCTTAGCAGTGAGCATCCACAACCCTGACTCGTGGGATTCGAATTGACCCATGATCCCATCTATTGAAATTATTACAATTTCCACAAAACCCCTTCTGGTATTACCAACATATGCTCACTAGTGACTGATTTCAAGAGGTATATCCTGGAATTCTAGTGGGAAGACGTGACCAACGGGGTTCAACCGGGTCTGTTGTGAGATAGTAACTCACTGATGACAATGGTGGATGTGTCGCTCAATTCCATAGATTAGTTGAAGTTAGACATTAACACCGTTGGATGCCGGCTCAGTGGTCTAGTGGTTAAGCGCTCGCGCGCGAAACTAGTACGTCCTCGGTTCGAATCTTGCTAGGCGGGATCGTGGATGCACACTACTGAGGAATCCCACTATAGGAAGAAATGGTCGTTCAGTGCTTTCAGGTTTTCCATGTTGGTCTAGCTTCAATTGACTCATGATCTCAACTATTGAGATAATAATTATTTATCTGAATGACATATTACATAACATAGTATTAAGTTCGATTATTTTTCTAGAGAGACTATAATTTATGGACGAACCAACTAGGTATAAGATAATAGGTTTCGGATTTTTGCGCGAAATTCACTCATCCATTTGGCTAAATACAGTTTTGGCATTATATCTGATATCAGTTCCTGATGAAAACCCTTAAAATAATTCTTAACCTTAACCATCAACTGTAAATCATAATTCAAATTCCTCACACAGGTTTATAACCCTCATTTAGTCCTAGTTATTAGATGGACACTCTCAAGGTCAGTCTAGCATCGCTTAAAAATCGTCCATAAATTATGGTCTCACCATTTTTCTTTCTTCTTTTATATACCAGCTATCAGAAAGTAAAATGTTTTATTCATTTATTCTCTATGATTTGCCAGTAATGTATAAGATGTAATGATAACTATTTCCTTTCTTAAATGTTTGAACTTCAACAATTACCATTAGAAAGTTAAGAATCTATTGAATAGGATTTTTGTTACAGATTAACATCGGCTTAACGATAATAGGGATAATATAGTTATTACCAGTGGTAACGGATAATCATCTTACTAACTTTTAAATCAAGTGATGTTCGAAATGCAAACCACTAAACTGTGACTTATTAGCTTAAAGATATAGTACTTGATAAGGTATATAGAGGTCATAGAACTTATACGGTACGAACTCATTGGTATACACTTCTGGCGAGCTCCAGAGTGAAGTTTTGTATTGTTCAAACGGTTAGAATGTGTTCTTAATGTTACTTATAAAGTTATTTCATCTCTATATTTTAACTATTAGTATCGAGAAACAAAGTACTATGTAATGCTAAGATGCAAAGAAAATGATCTTTCTTCTCATTATTACCAACCTTAGAGTATTGATAACAATCGGGATCGTGGCTATTCAGTAATTGTTTAGAATCAGATCGCTATAGTAAAAATAGACTCTTCTTTGTCCGATCCCATCTTATCTCATCCATAAATATGTATATGCACCCTAACACACGTATCCATCAGTAAAATTAACGGTTCACATAATCTGTCATGTGTATTATGATGAATTAGTAAGATGTAATCTGTATACAAAGAAAACATTGGTTACTAACCGGAATCGACTTTATTTTCTAAAAGAAAGACTTAAAAACAAAAAGAATAAGATGGTATATTTGTCATGATTTCATCAGATAGAATTTCATAACTTTAATTAATACTTGGAACAAAAATATTTATATGATAATGCGTGACTATATTAAGATAATTATTATCATTAAGATGATATATATAAAACAAATGTTTTACTCTCCTACATAAGTGTACAGTAAAAGTTTGTGACTTTACTATATTGACAACCTGTCATACTGTAGAAACTATATGATTCACTGAGAAAAATATGTAGGATATGAAGACTAATTTATTTTCAAAGATAGTTTTTATATCAAGAGTATATCTTTATTTAATGTAAGTTAGTGAATAAGAAATTTCAGAAGAAACTGGAAAGAAAATATTTAAAACATACATTCTGAATCTTCAACTTTTATCAGCTTTGTGATCAATATCGTGTTCGGTTAAGCAATTATTGTTGCATAATAATAATTGTTGCATTCGTTTTCATGTTAAACATCCGTCAGGTGAATTCCAAAGAATTTCGGCTTTCACCATAAGACGTTGCTACTGTTTTGTAAGAATGCTTTTCAACGCTCAAGGCAGATTTTAAATGATTTTTACCTGTTGGCACTTTTCAAAATGGTTCTGTTTTAGTAAGTAGAGTTTCTTGGTCTATATCTAACCCTTATTCATTGTCTGGGCTTAAAACTGGCATTAACCGAAATAAGGCTCCTGATGGTTCTTTAGAAAACATAACTAAATATTTATAACGTTCTTGATCTGAATCTTTAGAAAATATTATTTTTTCATACTGTTATCGACAGATAAACTAATTAAAATGAAAGTATTACTAGTTTAGATTGTGAATGATAATATAAGTTTTGATTTGAATGGTTCCACAATATCTTCAAAAGTTTCCAAGATAATAGTTAAATTTATGATCACAGATTTGTAGTTACGGGCTTTAGACATTGATTAGTTTTGGATAAATGAAGTTAAGAATATCCATTGTTGTTTGGATGTTATTAAAATAAGTTTTATTCCATATTTCTGGGAAAAGGCTAATTTTATTAGAAAAAAATTCATACATCTTGAAGATGAATAACAGTACATCATAGTGTAGTTAAACGTTATTCATTTAGTTTGATAATTATTTTATTTAAATAATCTATTTTAATATTTTTCTTTACTAAATGCAGGTGAGGCTATTAGAATGGCTCGTGATTTTAGTTATTTATGTGAAAATGAGTTTCCACATAGAATATGCGCTGAATATCTTTCACGTACTTTGAATGGATGTGATTACAGTGACGTGCAAAAGAAACGAAATCAAGTAATCTCAACAAAGTAAGTAAATACAACCATCCTTTTATCTATCCGTTTGGGTAACAATAAAAGGAATTGAATTCTCAGAATTCGATATATATTCGAAATTATCTCACATCAAAAAGAGCATCAACATAAAGCCTAGGTGTCTTGAACAGCCTTCTCGATAGAGTTTGGAATTTTTTTAACATTTAGACAGTCGATCTTCTAAATATTGCTAAAATGTTTCATAAAGTCATTTCAACTATTAAACATAATTGTTAGTTTAGAAAAGAATAACACAATAACAACATTAACACCATTGGATGCCGGCTCAGTGGTCTAAAGTTTAGGCGTTCGTGTGCGAGACTGATAGGTTCTGGGTTCGAATTTTGCGAGGCGGGATCATGGATGCGCAGTGCTGAGGAGTCCTATAATAGGACGAAACGGCCGTTCAGTGCTTCAGGTTTTCCATGGTGGTCTAGCTTCAACTGACTCATGAATTCAATTATTAAATTACTACAGTCTCCACAAAACCCCTCTCTGATAATTATGTCTTTCCCATCTACTTAGTTATCTGACTATCTGTTATTTTTTTTTACTAATTACTAAACTTACCAGAAGAACAAAGTTAGATTTCTTTGCCGACATTCACTAAAACATGCATGACATGTCAGTCTTTTATGACACACATAAGATATGTTGTAGATGCAACAATTCGACTTGTATCAGTGAAAATATTTACTGAATTGAGATTACTTTCCTTATATATAATCCAAACAAATTATTTCTTAAAATTCACAATATCAGTGCTATTAGTCAAAGGTGAATAATTAAGTATCCTAATCGTTAGTCTGTATAAAGAACTTTGGTTTCTAACACTTGATGGTTATCAGAGCACAATAAAAATGAGTATTTGTATCATTAAAAGTAATATCTACCAGAAATGTACATCGGTTTGGAAACTAACCTGTTTAGATTGTTTCTGTGTTAGTAGTGAGCAACTATACTGATGTGCCTGTATTTCTTTGTGGGCATCAAACGAACAGATAAAAAAAATTAGAGATACAATGTAACGTGAATGTTGTATGTTAGTTTTTTTATTTGAACCTTATCGTTATAATGGTCTATTTGATTTCATAAAATAAGGACATAGTTGAATTGATTGAATTAACAACTTGCTCACGAATGTCAGTTCCAAAACCTAATCGAATAGATCTTATAAACTAAAACCATTGGACTGTTGTCATACATACATAAAGGAATTAAAACCATTATTTATGTGATACTCAACTAGGATATGATAAAAAATGAGTTAACTGTTTATTAACAAGTTAGTAGCTAAGGCTATAAACTTAGTTCACAAAATAACCAGTAATGATTAACTCCTATTGTTTGTGATTAATTCATTGAAATATTGAATAATAAATTTTTTTTAAAATTAATTGTATAATCATTTTATTAATTTATATAGACAAATGTTGGGTGAAATCACTGATTTATTAACAAAAGACAGAAGTCCACTTGCAGTGAATCCACTTCCACCAAATCGAACAACAAATTGTCTTGATGTTACTACACAAAAATCATTAACTCATTTCAGTCATATAACACATGGATTTGGTGGTTTAACATTAATTAGTGCTTTAAATACATTTCAAACAATTCTATCAGATTTACTTAAAATTTTAAATAAAGATAGTCAATCAATTACTCATTCTACAAATAGTTCAACTATATATACAGATAGACATACACCTGTAACTTCAAGTATTTGTCATCAGCATCAACTACAACAATTTTCAAATAATACTATATCTAATACTTTAAATGAAGCTCAAACATTATCTTCATTATCTTTGACAATTAATACAGATCCATTAAACAATAATAATAATAATAATAATAATAATAATAATATACAACGTAGAAAATATATTATGCAACATATGAATGAAAATAATTCATCAAATCTAAGAAATATTATATCTATGCAAAGAAGTAATTTAGACAATGAAGTTGAAAATGGTACTAGTCTAAATGGAATTAGATAAATTGAATAAACTAGTGATATTCATTATTTTCACATTTCTTTTTTTAAAATATTATAACAAAATTACCCTACATATTATTATTATTATTATTTTTCACAGAGAAATCGTCAGATGAAAAATGCTGTAAATAAATATATATATATATAGTAATACTGATAAATTAACTGACTGTTCATTAAAAACTGATTTATTTATCGACTTCTTTTTAATTTTGTGGTTAATAATTAAGATTACATAATTGTTTGTTACTTAGAGGGTGGTAATTCGAAAAAAGCAGTTGAAAATAAGTAGGATGTTTTTTTCAAATATTGATCTAAGTTGATTGAATAATATCAGAAAAAGAAATGATTAAAAAAAATTAGAAGCTACTAAACCGCATGAAATTAGTATAATTGATCTAATTTCTAAATATCAGGTCGATGAATATATAGATTAGACTCCAATACAAAAGTTATGGAAATTTTTTTCACGCTTAGGATCTTTTCCATCAAATGTATTACATACATACATACATACATACATACATACTTATTTACTTACTTACTTACTTGCTTACTCTCTTGCTTGCTTACTTACTTACGCCTGTTACTTCCAATCGAGCATAGGTGGCCGACCAGTAATCTCTAACCCATTCTGTCCTGGGCCTTCCTTTCCAGTGCTATCCAATTTTTGTTCATTCTCCTCATGTCTGTCTCCAGTTCCCGGCGTAATGTGTTCTTTGATCATTCTCATCTCCTTTGGCCTTGAGGATTCCATGTGAGGGCTCGTCTCGTGACGCAGTCGGGTGCTTTCCTCAATGTGTGTCCAATCCACTTCCAGCACTTCTTCCTGATTTCTTCCTCCGTTCGGATCTGATTTGTTCTCTCCCATAGTAGGTTGTTGCTGATAGTGTCTATCCAACGGATCCGGAATATTTTGTGTAGACAGCTATTATTAAACAATTGTATCATCTGGATGATGGCTTTCGTAGTTCTCCAGGTTTCTGCCCACTACAGTAGGAATGTTTTGACATTTGTATTGAAAATTCTAGGCTTGGTGTTGGTTGACAATTGTTTTGAGTTACAGATGTTCTTCAACTGTAAATATGCTGCTCGTGTTTTGCTGATCCACGCATTCACATCTGCATTAGATCCACTGTGTTCATCAATGATGCTGCCCAAATATGTAAAGGTTTTTACATCTTCCAAATCTTCTCCATCAATTGTGATTGGATTGGTGCATGTTGTGTTGTATTGGAGAATCCTGCTTTTCCCTTTGTGTATATTGAGACCTACTGCTGCTGAGGCTGCTGCTACACTAGTCGTTTTCTCCTGCATTTGTTGTTGCGTGTGCGATAGAAGAGCCAGATCATCTGCGAAGTCTAGATCGTCCAGCTGCATCCTAACTGTCCACTGTATCCCATGCTTCCCCTCAGATTTTGACGTCTTCATGATCCAGTCGATCACCTCGAGAAAGAGAAAGGGTGAGAGTAAGCAACCTTGTCTGACACCGGTCTTTACCTCAAACGAGTCTGTGAGCTGTCCTCTACGCACGATTTGGTAGTTGAATCCATCATAGGAACTCCGTATGATATTGACTATTTTCTCAGGCACGCCATAGATATGTTATATATTGAGTTGATAAACAAGGATACATTATTCTCTTTTCGCTTTGTTTTACTCTAAAAGTCAAGATCCTAAACCTAGTCTATTATAACGATAGGGTTTTATTTTGTTTTTGTGTCTTAGCATTTACTACATATAGATAAACTAATTATTTGTTATCTTAAGACATTAACTTGTATTAGTGAAGAGGAGCATAAAGGGTTTAATGAAGTGTAACCATATATTTCCAAACATGAGGTATCATTCAGTAAATAATCTAAAGTTTCTACTGTAATGCGATATTAACTTAATAAAATGAATTTTAAGTAAATCCGTCATGTTATTACTACACAAACGGAAGCTAATTTAGTGAAGATTGTATCTTTTTAACTAATCGTATCGAATTGGTTGAGTGTATTATTAGAAAGGTCTGTGCATATGTTTGATATTTCCAGCTAAATACTGAGAAAGACGAATTGACTAATAAATTAGTTGTTCTTTTTTACCTCGATCATTGTTTATCTTCACATTTTACTACTTTACTTTTATTAGTAGTTCAAATGGTATTATTAATTATTTATTTTGAGGAGTTAGTAGAACCTGTCTGTTTCAATATATCACTTCAGTCTCTACTATCTGCAAATGTTTCCTTGAAGCATCCAATTGATATCTGTGATAGTGATAAAATGTTCGTTCATACTTAGCATTGGATTAACACATGTGAAAACCCCTATATTGCTATAATCAAAACTTAAAACAGCTGCTGCACCATATGATGCTAACGTATATACGAATATAAATAATGAAATTCGTCAAGGCATCTTAATTACTAGTAAAGTTTGTTAACCGCACTCACTGAAAGACAATTACACAGTGTGTAAAAAACCTTACAATCGTATATGAAAATTAAAGGATAATGTATTTACATAGTTCACAAAAAAAGCTTCACTTGTTAAAACGCAAACAAATGTCTATTCTAGTAAAACCAAGCATGTTTCTGTGTGTATGATCGGATTCTGTCGAGCCAGTCACTAACTTTGGTTGAGTCCGGAAACACTTTTCTTTGTTTCCGTGAGTGCATATCTCTCTATTTGAAACTGTATATCATTCCACTGTTTAACAAACTACTCTCACTGTTATTATGCCTTGTGAAAAGTGCAAATGCCCGTAAGATAACAACTAAATCCCATTAACTCATAGTTTTAATACAAATCCAACATTAACTACAGCTCTGTAAAACCAAAAATTATGGTAAGAATTAAGACGATGTTATTCACTTCAAAATTAAAATCAAGTGTGAAGTCTTATGTGAACTGAACTAAACACCAGACTGATTTGTAATCTATATTTAACTTTAGTGCCTCCGTTACTTTGATAAATTCAAAGCCAGTAGTCTTATTATTCCGGGCACAACAGTAATATAAATATCCTGATAAAACCATATCCATTATGCGTAGTGATATGAAGCCAGCAAAGACGCTGTAGAAACTATTTGGCAGATACCGAATTCTCATTGTATTTAGTCTCACAGTTGTTGTATCCAGAACTTGTATTTTCGCTAAACCACGTACAATTTGGGCACTCAAACCTGAACTAGAACCCTCCAAGTCGTAAGACAGAAGACGGAAGACGAGTAGGAGGGAATCTCATTTCAAACAGTGTTTAATATGGTACAAAACACTCATGTATTTATAATTTTTAGTAAGAACGAAATCATCATTACAGTCATACAATCCACATGCAGTGGTTTTTATCATTTGTCCTATCGAGAAGCTACAAATCACTATTCCGGAATGTTCTGTCATCAGCTCTTCCACAGCCTCTTAGAGCTTCCTTAAGTTCACCGTATGCCGTCTCTATAACAGTAAAATAACTGATCGAGTTTGCGTATTGGACTCACTGATATGATAGCACTCTTTAAAGGTCGGACAAAATTTATGATAAGCCGTTATATTGAGGATGTCGTAGAGCTGTGAATAGACGATGGCATTAAATGTCAGTAGGCCAGGTGTTAAACGTTTTCTGTGGAATGGATTCCACTATCCGTTACTAATACATTGAAAAATTCTTTCACCACTAACTATTTTCCTCACAGCTCTTTGAGTAAAGTGGCCACTAACACTGTTCGTTACTCCCATTTCTGGCAATTTGGAAGATGAATCAATCACAACCAACGCTTAATATGACCTTAAAAATGGGTCTTAACAATCCGCATGAATACTTTGTCACGATTCATAAGATGTAAGACAGTGATTCTAGGTTGATTTATTATACGATAGCTTATGTAAACAAGCAGGACAGTTTTCTTGGTTTTCGACCTGTATCAGCGTCAGTCTCAGGCCACCAGCAAGCATGACAAATAAGTGACTTCATTTTCTTTACACCCAGATGGGTGAAGTAAAGGTCATCTAATACTGCAGATCTGCGTATAGGGGGATGATTATTCTATCATTAAAGCAAAAAAACCTTTAGGATGCGATGACATATTTCACTTTTTGTAAAACTCAAGAAATCTTTACTTTCACTGAATAATCCAACCTCTTTCTACAATACTTATGATAGTTCCAATCTTTCACAAGTTCTGCTATATAAACAGATAATGGTTGTGTCAACAAATAGCCATTTTTGTTAGGTGGTCTTCCAAAATATGAATCACATGGTAGAAAATTTGTATATGGTATGCTTTAGATACTCTGTGCTCAATGATAAAATCACACTCAACTTTAAATTCTATCACTGGGTCATGGCAGAGGATGATTTAGTTGGACGGTAAACAAACTTTACCTCCTTGTGATTAATTACGACATGGAATTATACATCAATCTCTTTACTGCCCATACCACAGCTAAAGCCCTCCTTTAGGCCTGAGATCATACTTGTTTAATCGTCCCGAAACGAAAAAACTTTGTGCTCAAGAATCTCACCTAACCCCAACGGACCTGCATCTGTAGTAGGGATAGGTTTCTCAGTTGGTAAAAACGGTCTGAGGAAAACCTGTAAAGCATTCTTTAGTATCTCTCACATGCAATCTCTTTGCTAGAGACGAAGTCGAAAAGTAGAGATAATATGTGTGTGAGTTCAAGAATAATCTAGAATGAAACTGAATAGCACCAACCCATGACCTGAGTTCTGAAATATTCGAAGGTGACGGTGCTCGAATCAGTGGAACAAAGCGACACATATTAGGTCTGAAATCCTTAGTGTCTACAGTATAGCCTAATCAGTTGATAGAATTAAGTTGAAATTAGCACTTGGATGAATTTACAACCACATCTGTTTCACAAAACGCATAGAAAACTTAGAAGGATATTCACTATCCAATTTAGTATTTTCAGTATAAACTACGACATAATCCTGATATGATTCAACGACGTCAAGACGGATGGTGATTTCATTTATAACATGGAACATTGCAGG